CACCAGCGCACTGACAAACAACGATAATCACAACAGAACACAGCGAACGAGTAAAGGGGAGAACAGAAAATAAAACGGAACGCGCAAGGATTCGGAAACATAGATGCGTCCAGCATGTAAAAATCACTTTATCTCAACAAAAAAAAAGAATCGCATTATATTAAGTCACTCCAAGTCTTCTTACACACCTGCACGCGGGCACAGAGAGAGAGAGACACGGCGCGAACTAACAAAAAAGTCAACATCTAAGAATTAAAAAAAAACACAAGCAGTACCACAAAACAAATAGACAAAATAAGAATGTAAGTAGTACACACAACGACATAAAAAGAAGAAACAGCAGCCATACTCACTTCGGGAAGCAGAAGGGCGTAAACAACAGCGTTGAGATGCAAGGCAGTGTGCGTTAAGCTATGGCGCCCCTTCGTTTCTTATTCTGCAGCAACAGCAATGCACTGCTGTCCCAAACAACAAAGGCGCCACACCCCGCACAACAGCACACCTTTCGGTAGCTTCTACGCAACCGTTGCACTCTCAACGTTTCGTCTGATACTCCTTCACACTCCCTTCATGCGCAACGCGACCCTGACCGTGCATTCTTAGCCCTAACGCCGCCTCTCCAGTTACCGTCGCTTCACCAAGTGCCCGCACATTGGGCAGTGCTACTACCTCGTTATTCTTTTGTGCATGTGTACCGTGTTGTTCGTGTTACGATCATACTTCATTTACAATTGTCCAGAGAGCGTCCGTATACACATACATACATACGCATATATATATATATATATATGGATATATGTGTGCCTGCCTGTGCTTGTGTGTCCCATCACGACGTGCATCGCAAGGGACACACACACGCACACCACACCACATAGATACATACCACGTACGGACACAAACCAAAAACGCGTGTGGGGTTGTGTGCGGCACTCAGGCGCTTTGAACGCCTGCAGCTTCACTTGCCACCGCTCCTAACCACCAAAGTGTGCTTGGAGCCACCGCCAGTACAGACATGCAGGCTGCTGCAGCAACGGCACTGACACACAAGGCTGCGTGGCCTCCTTTTTTCGCGTGCACCCGCGGACGCGGGGTTTTTGAACTCCGCTCTCTTTTCTCTTCGGTTGCACTGCTGAAACGCTCCGTTCTTCTCCATTTTCTTGATCAACGCCTGCCGCTGCCTTGAGCATCTTACGGGATGCCACCCACCCCACTCCCCCCGAAAAAAAACACAAAACCAGTTCTTCCGAGCCGCGGAGGTGGCCTCTCCGTGTGGCTCCATGCGTTTTGCACTCTTTTCGTTTTATTCCTGTAATTTCGTGTTTTGCCCGGCACAACGTATCCGAAGTCCGCCTCTCCTTCGGCTCATTGGGTCCGGTGTCCCCTCCAGGGTTGGCGCACACTGTGTATGGGCAGTACGAATGCCCGAGTAATAACGCAGCCGCCGCTGAAAATATGCGGGGGCACCAAACCATATTTGGACTCTTCCTGCTGAAAGCTGCTCACACCCACTGCTTCCCGGTTCCCTGCAATTCCCCTCAGTTGTCGTTGCAGCCCCTTCGTACCCCTCACGCGTCCCTTTCGTTCTCGGTATGCAGCAGCCACAGACGCTGCCGCCAAGATCACAGCATATCAAACACTCACTGCTCCTGCTCGGCAATGGCAGCGTCCTCCGCCTTGTTCTGCGCTTCCTCGCTGATGCGCAGGAAGACCTGCTCGATGCTTGTCTGCGACACTGCGTAGTCTGCGATGCCGACAGCCTCCTTGTTGCGCTCCAACACCCCAAATGCCGCGGCAAGCGACGTGCCGGGCGGCAGCGCGTATGTGAACCGCGGCCCCCGCATCTCGTCGAGTTTGGCGTCCGGGAAGGAGGCGCGGATGAACTCCTCCACGCGCGATGCTGGCACATTCTCGTGGGTGCGTATCGTCATCTCAAACCCGCTGCCGTACTTCGTCTTGAGGTGCGTCTTGTTGCCGAGGCAGCGCAGGGTGCCGTCCACCATGATGGCCACGCGGTGCGCCAGCGCCTCCACCTCCTCCAGGTGGTGCGTTGTCAGCACAACTGAGCAGGTGCTGGAGATGGCCTGAACAGCCGTCCACAGCCCGCGACGCGCGACAGGGTCCATGCCGGCAGAGGGCTCGTCAAGGAACACGACACGCGGGCCGCCAATGAGGGCCAGCGCAACACTCAGCTTCCGCTTGTTGCCACCGCTCAGCTCGCCGGCACGCGTCCGTCGGAACTCAGTGAGCTCGCAAAGCTGCATCAGCTCCGTCGTCACCATCTTACGCTGGTGCGCAACCACGCCACGTATGCCGGCGTACAGCTGCAGGTGCTCCTCCACCGTCAGCAGGTCCAGCAGCGCGTCGAACTGCGGGCAGTAGCCGATGTAGCGCAGAGCTTCACGCGACTCACGAACGGTGTCCTTGCCGCAAATGAATGCCTGCCCGCTGGTCGGAACCATCTCCTGGCACAGAATGGCAATGGTCGTCGTCTTGCCCGCGCCATTGGTGCCCAAGAAGCCGAACACCTCACCAGGTTTCACACCAAAGGTCACATTACGCACAGCGACCTTTCCGTTGCTGTACACCTTGCGCAGATTCACAACACGGACAAGATCCTCTGACACTGTGGGGTCCCCCTCCATGACGCGGCGCCGTTCCATGGCCACGTCCTCCTCCTCCCCCTCCTCGAAGATTGCCTCCCCTTCTTCACCGTGGTGCAGCAGCATCTGTGTTCGCATGCGCCGCGTCGGGTGGTCAATAAATAATGTGATGAGGAAGAAGGCGGGTATCTCCACGACCATGTAGATGATAGGGCCTCCCACCACATCGAGCGCCCACGGCGAGATGGCTGTGCCCGCCAGATTCTGCTTCCCCATCCGCGACGCCAAGCCGACGATGCCCTCGCCAACGCAGTAACTGGGGAAAAGGCGGAAGGCCCATTTAAGACCGTTGCCCGCCTTCTCAGTGGACGGGACCATTACGAGAGTCTCCACCAACATCACCAGCAGGAACCCTGTAAGGAAATTGCCCAGCATCACGGTGTTCTGCGCGGAGGAGTGCTCCTTGAAGAGGAACGAGAGGGCGTACGACATCGCGATGCACGACAAGCCGTAGGTAACAAAAAGAACAAACGTGGGGCCAAATGTCTCGGCCGCAACATACTCCTTTCGGCCAAATATCAGCATCACAATCATCACCAATAACATCATGATCAGGTACGAGCAGATGTCAAAAACGTAGTTGGACAGCCAGTAGACTGAGAAACGCAGCCCCGACACGTTCTGCAGGTGACGGGCCTTGCACTCGCGCTCCCTCACCACCCACGACACAAACGTGGAGGGCACAAACGAGAAGGGAATCATAATTAACATGGCAACCAGCAAGGACTTCATCATGTCCCTGAACGCTTCCTCACGATTGGTGCGGATCATGGGGAAGTTTTCCGTGACGAAGATGTCCTCCAAGTACTCCACCGACGCAGACGAGAGTGCCTTCTGCACCACCGCACCGTAGTAGCCGACCATGCTCACCGCAATGCCGTGCAGCGCAGACATGTTGAAGAAGAGGGCCGTTGCGCCACCGTAGACAGGGTCACCACACGCCATCGCAGTGTACCGACTCGTCGCGTGGCTTTTGTAACTCCCCACGAGGTGCGCGGAAAGCGCCGTGGTGTTCCCGATGTCGCTCAGCACGCTGGTCTCCGCGTCTCTCGCGAAAGGGATCGAGGTACTGATGTCGTTCGCGCAATTCGCAAGGTCGATCTGCACATGCCCCTCGTACATGTCGGAGGACAACCGGATCGACGGGTGCTTGACCATATCTATCATGTTGAGGAGCATCGCGAAGATGACCATGATCACAGGAAAGAGAATCTGGATAAACTGCGTGCGGCGGTCGCGGAGGGCGTTGCGGCACCGCTTCAGGAAGGAGGCCTTGAACTGGCACCCCATGAGCGTCGTCTCGTCCTCAATCAGTTTGGCATCCCACACGGAGTGGAGCGGTGGAGACTCAGCAGCCGGTGCGCTTGTCTCGCTGAAGGTCACGGGCCTGAGCGGGATTTCCAACTTCACTCCAACCGTGTGGTCTTCCTTGCCGGGCAAAGCCGCGGCGCCGTCCTGCTGTCCCTCAGCAGATGTGTTCGCATCCATGTCGTCGCCATGGGCAATGCGCAGGAAAATCTCCTCCAGTGTCGTAGCAGAGAGCGTGTAGCCTTGCACACCGTACATATCTCCCGACGACTCGACGTCAGCGAGCATGGCGGGAAAATCCTTCGCGAACGACATCGGCAACCGGTACGAGACCTCACCAGCACCACTGTTCAGCACCTCCGCAGCTGGCACGTACGACCGAATTAGCGAGTCAATGCCTTGCCGCTCCGCACTGCTTGTCACCGACATTGTGATGTTGTACCCCACACCCAGGTTGGACTTCAGGAACAGGCCGCTGCCGGCGCACTGCATGCGTCCCTTGCTCATAATTGCGATACGGTCCCCGAGGAGATCCGCCTCGTCCATGAAGTGCGTGCTCAGCAGTATGGTGCGGTCCGCTGACATCCGGCGCAGCAGGTCCCATGTGTGGCGGCGCGCACCCACATCCATCCCCGCCGTTGGCTCGTCGAGGAAGATGAGGCGGCTGCCGCCAACGAACGCGATCGCGACAGACAGCTTCCGCTTCTGTCCCCCGGAAAGCGCCGATGACGCATAGTCGCGCTTGTCTTGAAGATCCACGCCTTCAAGCATCTGCTCAATGGCCTCTTTCTGGGCGTCTCCGCTAAGTCCCTTGATGCTGGAGAAGTACGTGAGGTGCTCATGGCAGGTAAGATCCGGCCAAAGAATGTTGTGCTGCGGGCAGAAGCCGATCTCTTGCCGCGCAGCACCCAAACTGTTGCGGATCGAGTGCCCGTAGATGTAACAGTCGCCACCCTTCGGCTTCATCATGCCCGTCATCATGTTCATCAGCGTCGTCTTCCCCGCGCCGTTNGGGCAGAAGCCGATCTCTTGCCGCGCAGCACCCAAACTGTTGCGGATCGAGTGCCCGTAGATGTAACAGTCGCCACCCTTCGGCTTCATCATGCCCGTCATCATGTTCATCAGCGTCGTCTTCCCCGCGCCGTTGTGACCAAGCAGCACAGAGATCTCGCCCTCCACCAGGTCCCAGTGCATGTGGTCCACAGCCACGAAGGTTTCCTTTCCTCGTTTGAAGGCCTTCGTGAGGCCGCAGATGCGTACGGCAGTCCTTGACAGTTCCTCATCCGTGAGAGGCTCGAACACGCCAGTCGGCTTGCGCCCGTCCTCCTCACTTGACCAGTCCTCCTCCTGTTTGCAGCACCACGACAAGGGCGCCAGAATGCAGAAGAGCGGGTGCTTGGGAGTGCCCCAGTCGTTCGGTACAACGGCGTCCAGGTACAGCATCAACACCAGGTAGACCACCAAGTCGACCACCAGCATAATGAGGATGAAGATCATGTTCGGCGAGTCCATGGAGTTTGCAAGGTCCCCACTCTTAAAGCCCGTTGATATCTCGTAGTCGAACAAAATGCTGAGGCCCTCCGAGAAGGCCGACGGTGACAGAATGCAAAGTGCTGAGATGACGGCACTGCCGGCGCTCCCAATAGCGAAGAGCGGCGTGGAGAGCAGGAAGTAGATGAGTGGTGCAAGCACAGCCGAAAGCCGTGCCTTGGAGAACAGCGACCCTATCAGCCCCGACAGTGCAACGAGCGTCAACGTGAAGAGGAAGAACAGGAAAAACAACACCCCAAAGCTCGTCTTCGTCATGAATGTAACCTTCATCAAGACAGCGACGATGAGCGAGACTACGGCGTACTGCATACCGTCGATGATAAACCAGGCAATGTACTGGACAGACTGTCGTAGCCCCATGATGAGCAGTGCCTCCTTGAGGCGCAGCTCCTTGTCCAAGACAATGCGCTTCGTGCCTTGTGACACAG